ACCACAGATGGTGGGGGAATTTTGGTCTCTTTGCTTATTCATTCTCCTAACATTCAGGTAGTGGCTTTGGCAAGAGCCTCCTTGACTAGCAAGTTCCCACAGTGGTCACCTGACTGGAACCGCCCTGAAATCATGTTTAGCAATTCTATTTCCTATCCAGTCTTTCATTTTGTGGCAGGTATAAAGTTATGTTTTTCTCCAAAGTTCAGCTATCTGTTAAAGAGTGTGCTTGATGGGAAATCAATGAGAATTGCTTCATGTCTGAGTTATTGTCATTCTCCAGCCCTAACCCTCCCCAAACACTTTTCCCTCCTTTGTTGTACTGGATCAAACACATGTGTTTCATCTTCAAAATAAAAATTTATTCGATCTGTAACAAGAACAATGAATCTGCACATTCGCACAAGTTCACATTTAAAAACAGCGGAGCACATCAGTAATAAAAAAAAATCTATGATACAAGTGGAACATCCCAACCACCAGGAAGATTAAGGAAGGAGATGAGCCCACTCTTTATTTTCTGTTTCAAATGCCTCAAAAAGGTCCCAGAGATTCCAGGGAGCACCTGCTTTAGTTAATAAAATGTGAGCTTAAAAGTTTGGGATGGTCTGGGACAAAGGTAACAGTCAGTGGGAGAATCTTCTAGACTTGTTTCCATATTCTGAACAAGTCCTAAAAAATTAAAATAGAAAGAAACAAAGAAAAGGCACCTTAAGCTATGCTAAGCAAACCAAAACCCAATAGAACATAAAAACCAAGAACTCCCCTGTGGGTTTATTGATTGGAAAACATTCCAGGGTCAGTTACATCAGCTCTGCATGTGTGCGCCACCAGTGCTCTAAGGACACAGATGGCAGCACCATATATCTCTTGGGGGTCTTCACACTGATGAGGGGCAATTCCAGTTTAGAAATCCTGCCCTAGATCCCTGGGGCACTGAGAAAATGAGGCTGGTCTCTTTATAGCAGGAGTCAGGCCCTTTCTGGAAGAATACCGAAGCACCTTGCAACAGCTCCCCATGGCATCAAGGAACCCCAAGCCCTGGGAGAAGGGTGAGGAGTTTGCAGCTTCCTGCTTTAGTAGCAGGCCTGTTCCTAAAATGGGTATTGTATGAGTTGAGGCAACAAATCACGCTTACACTTAGTAATACATGCCTTTATCTTTCTTTTAGTTTGGAAGGGAAAACAAAATTCAAGATGCTTTTAAGTTGGGTTGGTGATGAAATAGCAAACATCTTGTCTACCATCAAAAAGCAAAACTAAACAAAAATGACACTAGCCATTCACCATTATAACCATCACCACAAGACATACCACCACCACTGAAGAAATGGTGCAGGACATAGGTGGACATCAGCTCCAAGTTTTACCCACATTATCAGTGAGGGCTGTGACCACTATGGAATTGCTTTGTGTGAGGACTCATGGACAGCCATAGCTTGGAACCTGGAGAGGAGACAGTGGCTGACAGGAGGATGCAGGTTTTAATATTCACAATGTAAACAAAGTATCCACAGACAGGGGTCCAAAAAGCCAAAGGATGGCTTTAAATTTTTTTTTAAATGCCCTTTTAAAGTGATAATTTTTGCATAATTCTTTCTGAGAAGAACAAGAGACAACTCCTACAAAAAACATTTTTTACCAATCATGCGTAGATCATTTCAGGTTTGAAACCCTCAAGTGGAACTGGGGAGGATTTCCGCAAGATATAGCTCAGAAATAAAGCTTCTTGTGGGAAGCTTCAGGTCTGGCCAACATCTGCCTGGGGCCCATGAACAGGAGGGAACCTCAGAGCCCGGACTCCCCCAAATGAAAAAATAACAAATACCAGTTGGGATAAAGTTACAGAACCAGGAACATTCTGGATAAAGGGCCTGAAGAGGTTGAAATGCTAGGAATGAATGATTGCAAACTTTTAGCATCTAAAAAGCAACAGAAAGAGGAGATAAATATTAACACACTATAGTATTACATGTCCACTATTGTATACACTGTTTCAAAGTATTTTCAAAATCAAGAAAGGCTTGATACTTTGTTCATACTGACCAGGTAGCCTTCCCAGATTACAACTCAAAACACCTGTGTGTGCCTGGATTTTTTATCCCAGGCACCAAAATGTTATGCATATGCACACACACAAACACACATACACACACACACTCTTTCTCTCTCCCCAGAAAAATGGAAGTCAGACTATGGAGGTTTTTGAAATAAAGATAGAAAGAAGCACTGGGCAAGAGGCCAAAGCATTCCCTCCTCAGTTCTGTCCATCTATTACACCTGCTCTTCACAGGCTGGATTTCCCAAGAACAGAAAAGGGAAACATGCTACCAGAGAGCATCAAAAAGTTTGAAGAGAAGTCTGAGAAGTCCTTACCACCTCATTATATACCTCTCCTGGACATTGCTTAGTTGTGGAAATACACCAATAATACCCAAATGTGGGAGCTTGAAGGGGCTGTTTAAAGCCCCTTGGCATGGCTGAATTATATTTAATTTAGGCAAGTATATGAAATGATTTAAAAAAATGTAATAAAAACAAAATGGAAGGCAGAGTAAGACCATTTCCTCTACTCTTTGAAATGTGTTTTTCACAGTATTAGAGGGTTCTCCGCAGCTCTGTTATTTACAATGAGCCTAGGCAGTAGGGGAGAAGAATGGTAGGGGAAAACAGAACAGTGCAATGCTGTTGATACAGCTTTGTCACCAGCTTAAGGGGTTAACAGGAGTGGACACTGCTTTCTTATCTTCCTGTCCCACCCCAATTTCCTGACCTTTCTTATCATACTGATGGTGGAATTGCCTCAACAAGACAGGCATTTTCGATGGATGAGTCCTAGAAATTCCTAACCCTGTTTCACAAACCTCTTCGCATTGGTACATACCACCTAAAAAACACCTTACAACACATTAAGTATCCAGGAATCACAAAGCGCAGTATGGATGATACATTTGAATATTTAAAAGCTATTTAGGGACACCACAGTTACACATAATCACTATACCACACAGACATTTAACAGGTGGTTTCTGTCCAATCGGCCCCCTGGCAGTGATGTCAGTCCCAACTATGGCTTCCATTTGGCCAGTGGACTTATAGTTCCTCTTGAGCACCTAAGAGTAGCCTCAGTCCACTTTTCCTCTCTCCTGTGGGTCACCCTACTGCCTGCCTCCACTCAACTTTGGCCTCAGACATTAACTTCATGGTTTTTGCATCTGTCTTTTCCTTTCCAGTGCTGTGAGAAACCAGAAACCTAGGTCTCATGCCTGCACTTGGTCAAGTTTTCAGCAATATGGACACCAATCAAAGCAAACAGGAAGCAAATCTGCAAACCACCTCTATTTTGGGGTGCTTCAGAGAATATTTCATCCCATGTTAAATATGTTTTCTGTAAGAAACTGAAATTGGCTTGCTTATGGCAGGGGCTCCTGTGTTATCAGTGTCCACCATAGCAGCAAAACCAACAGCATCCTAAATGGAGTCATTACCAGGTGCCTGCCCTAGGCTTCCTGCCTCCAACCTCTTAGCCATCATTAGGAGCTTCCACCCTGGGCAGCAGTAACACTCCTATCCACTCTTTGGCCGCCGTACAGCTGCTGGCAAACAATGTTCTGGGATTTCAAGTCTCAAAGAGATATCAGTCTTCAGGCAAATTGTGATCTAATGGGAACCGTTAGGGGTTTCTCTGAGGAGGAAGTTACTAACACATAATTTGGCAGGAACTGGAGTTTAGAAGTCTCCATTTAAACAATTAAAACCACCATCAATCTACTCTGCAGATTCCTACCAATACTCTTCAGTTTTACTTCTGTGGTGTCGTGGTGTGTTTTCCAGTTACAGCTTAACTCCTTCTTGAAAAGAATAAATCGCAAAGATCCTACAACATCAACAAAACACTGTAAGAAAGTGACATTATGTATATAAATACTGTGTATAAACTTTAGAGAGATGACAAACTTTCCAGGAAAAGAATGAAAAACAAACAAAACAAAACATGTCAAGTGTTAACAGTGATAATGTAGAAAACATTGCTTTCATGGAGGTTTACATATATAATGTAACAATTCCAATATCATTTATGAAATTAAAAACAAACAAACAAACAAACCAACCCACCACAGGCAGCACTGGGAAAATAGCAAGGGGAAGGAAAATAAATTGGGGAGAAAAAAAGGCCATTAAACTCAGAGGCCAACAAAATTATTCAAGTAATGCAAGGGTTAAACCCTACCGAGGGATTCATTTTACAAGAACACACTGAGTTTTGATTGCTGTTTTAGAAAGCTGTCACTATTGTGTCTTAGTTGGGAGGACCAGGAAGGTCTGCATGGATCTTAACAATTTGAAAGTTACTGGGCAGTGGCCTCTCCACTCACAACTTTTACAACCTTTTCTTGTCAGTCTTCCTTTCTTTACGGAAGACCTTCTACTGGGTTTTATTTTAATGTAAAAAATTACTTACTTGGGAAAAATACTATTTGTTTGGTAAATGTAAAGTCAGCCTTTATCATGCTTTTTCTGTAATGGCAGGCTCTGGAACACCAGAAGAAATGGATTCTGGAAGATCCCCTTTTAAAGCAAAGCACAACCTGCCCGTCTCAAGAACTCCCATGGCCTGGAGCTGCAGGGGATGGCTGAGTGTTCTGTGGCCAGTCCACCTGCCCTTCAGCCTATCAGAAGCGTCAGGTCTGGGAATCAAACCATAATCATGTCCTGGGGAGCATCTCTAACTTCCAGCTTCATCTCCACCCTCCCCCATCTGCTTCCTTTCCTTAGTCAAGCCAAGAGAACAGCTGGCAGTTGATTGAAAAACAGCAATTTGCCTTTGATAAAGGTGTTCTTTAAAAATGAGTTGGTTTGTTTTCTGAGGTTTGAATTTAAAAAAAAAAGACAAAATGATCTTGCAGTCCAAATCTCTCTCTCTATTCTCTCTCACACACATACACAGACAAAACCCAAACCCTGCATGCGCCAGGAACAGTAAAATGACCGAAACATTATAAAATTAACTAATAAAGTGCATGTTTCTTACATATTACACCTGCCCCTTTTATAAACATTTCTTTTCAAAAGTCACATGTGTAGGCTCAGAATCACATGGTATTATAGAAGGGGTTGGTTGTCCGTTTTTTATCATTTGCCTTTTTAAGTCTCCTAAGGGGGTGAGTTCTGCCATGTTGCTGACGGGGTGCCACAGACAGTCCTGGAGCTGGGCCTACACATTGTAGTCCCTGGGTCTGTAGCAAAGGAAGGCCTCCTTCAGAACTAGTCAATTCAGGTCCTGCCCTGGGGAGCGAACACTGCTGACTGTAACCAAATTCTTTGGCGTACTGCACAAGAGGCCTCTGCACTGGCTTGCTCTGTACGATACACTCCGTGGTTTTGAGTTGCTCTACAAAATACTTGGTGGGCTCTAGGTTCTGGGGGGCACCTGGGTCTTCTGAAGGCTCCTGGACCTCCATGGCATGCATGCCTGAGTCCGTCCTGATGAAGGGCTGAAGCAGTTTGAGATGAAGGGATTCTGAGGAACAAGGGTCCCTCTCCGGTAAACAGTCTTTACAGAGGTCCAAGTAACCTAACTTTGCAAAGGAAGCTGAGCGTCTCATTTGGGATGGTTTGGTGAGCCCAGCCTGGCAAACCACTCGGGACTCAATTTCTTTAGCACGTTCCTTCACCACACTGGCACAGTGGCTGAGGCCCTTTACGCTGTCACTACTAGAGCTATGTGTGAGTCGACAGGCTACATGTGATGCGTCCAGTTTTTCTTGGAACGCCTCCACAGTGTCATCAAGTTTGTTATTTAAGCTTAGGTCTTCACTACTTAACTGGGAGCACTTATGTGACACCTCATTACCACTGGAGAGGGGGCCCACCTGACCTTCCGCCCAGCTACCCTGGTGTGTGCAGGGATCATCATCAGTGCTGCTGCTTTGCTGTATGAAGCCCTCCAGGTGAACTGTGGTCTGGGGATTCAGGTAATCCACGGGAGATGGTATATGGGTTGTGTGACTGACAAAAGGTGCTGTTGTCTCTAGGGGTGTCAATGGGCTGTTGCTCCTGTCTTCAGGGCTGCTCAGAGTGGAGGGCAGGCTGGTGGGCCTGTCCTGCTCAGGAGAGGAAGCATGTGACAGAGGTAGCACTTGGGGGTGCATAGCAACCTGGTCAGGGCAGAGAGTCCTGTTCAGATTTTCATCCAGTGCACAGAGCACAGTGATGGACTTCTCTGCTTTCACTGCCCTCGGCCCTTGCTGCCCACTCTTTTGGGTGGTGGCTCCATCAGCTTTTGGCCCAGGGTGATCAGGCGATGTGACTGCGTGTGTATACTCGATGATTTCTATCCTCTTGGGAAGGGAAAGAAGCACGGCTTGTGTCTCAGACCCTTGGCCTGAAAGCACAGCCCTTTGCTCCTTCAGGACTTCTTCCTGCTGCGTTCTAGCATCTGACCCTGGACAGTCCTGAGGGGCTGACACGGGGTGAAACTCCAGCAGCATGGATGCTGGAGCCATGACTTTCTGCTCAGACAGGGGCAGTGAGCCAACTTCATATCCAATATATTCCCCTTTGCCCTTGCTCATCTCTGATTCCTTATGGACAACTGAAAGTTCCAGAGTGGCCTCATCACTTTTCCCTTTTGGTGCTAGGTCTGCCACAAAAGTATCATTCTTAGAATTCTTTCGAGTAGACAAAGAGGTACATAGAGGAGCAGCACCATGGTGCTCTTGCTCCTGCCGCAGGCGCTCTTCAAACTCCAGTGTGGCTCGCCTTACGGAGCCTGGGCACCACTTAGCACTTGGGTGCATCACTAGGCCACAGAACTCTTGTTCCCCTTCAGCTTGTTCCTCTTCTTCCAAGTCTGTCATGAATGAGTGTGTGGCTAGGCAGCCTTCTGGATCCCACTTGCCTGCGTCTTTGGCTAGTTCTGGCTGAGCTGTACAGGAACCCTCGTTCTGTTCCAGATTCCGAGACTTGTTTTCCAGGGCCTGGGCCCTCTCGATGGGCAGCTCATGGAAGGTGTTCTTCTTTGGTGTATGGCATGGGTTGGGTAGGATATCTCCTTTCAGTTGAATCTGTCCAATTCCTTGACTGATAGACTCAATCTCAGTGATGATTTCTTTGACTGAAATTATGTTTTCTGAGTGAGACTGCATGAAGATATCTGGGCTGACCAGTTCTGAGATTGTCTAAGAAGAAAAAGCAGTGAGATGGTTATAGAGAACTGTAGTCAAACTGAACATGCCTGATGTTCTGCTTACTAATTCTCTGATCCAGGACAACCTATCTGGATGTGAGGACACAGATAATGGAGTGTCTGAGGCTGTACTCTGACCATCTGTTTGGTGGTACAGGGAAAAAACAAAGAAAACTGGGATTCATTAAGACTAGAGATATAAAATTAGTTCCCAGGTTTGTAAAACTTTCTGTTCTAACTAACTTTCAGGATTCCAATCCAACACTTTGCTCCAAAAATAGCCTTGGAGGGTTTCAAAATCCTTATTTTTCTAAGACCATGAGCACACCCAGGATTCAAGTCAATCTTATTTCTTTGGCCTATCCCAGTTTGATCCTAGTCTAGATCAAGTGGGAGAGTCCACTCAAGGGCTTGGTGGATACCTTAGACATGTCTTAGAGTGAAATTGGATGAAGCTACCAACTGATGCCTGACTGCTGCTCTCTTCTCTCTTCAGTTTTGTCAACTTTCTTCCCTATCCCCTGACTGCTTCTCCTAGCAGCAGCAGCCCAGCACAGGAGGTCAGGGAGAATGCACTGTTTATCCAACTACACAATTCCTAAGCTTCTCAGAACCTTCTGAGAAAGGTTCACTTAGCTTTATGCAATCATATAGAGGTCAAAAAATTTAAAAACAACTCTCTATTGTTCTACCTAGATGGATTTAGAACAAGACCAAAGAATGTGGCAAATGTAAAATCAGGTCCTAGTGTAAAAAAAGAAACAAGATTTATTAAAAAATCTGGACATGGTCTTCTGATACCTCTTAGAGAGGCATCATATGACCATCAATCTACTTCGTGAAACACTTTTTTTTTTAGCTTTCAAAGCACAATTATTTCCCTTGGAATTGTTTAAGTCTTTCTTCTTCAAAAGAGAATCAGAGCTACTATAAACCATGTCTTTGACTGACTGCAGGGGCATCAGGCTGAGGCACACTTGCCAAGACTGGGAGAGAAGCCACAGCAGGTTTGGTGTGTGCACTGCTTGCAGAGAGAGTGCTCATATGACCAAGGTTTTTGCAGAACGGCTATTTCTGTTAGTGTTGCTACACTCACTGGTCCAAAGGACAGCTCAGGCAGTCTACCTTCCCAGTAGAAAAAAACAAAAACAAAAACAGAAGCATAGCCTTTGGGGAAAGGAGAAGGCTAAAGCAGAGGCAAGAACTGCCCTGAGGCTGTTAAGGAGGAAACATGAGGAGTGGACAAGGTGGTAAATGCAAGTAGGTAGACATCAGTAGATGTCAACCTATTTCAAGCCAGAAGAATCTACTTTAAGCCAAAAGAACCAAACCACTACTCGGTCCCACAAAAATTATTAGCAAAGTTTGGTAAAATAGAATAAACTTGTCAACACTTACTTCCCAAGTACAGTACTGTATTAAGATGCAATCTAGAAGATGCATCCTTATTTTGGAAATGTCAAAATGAGATGACAGTAAGTGTGAATCTTACAACTGATAATATAGCACTAATTCTTTCCCTGGACTGAGAGGGTCTGTAAGAACTCACATGCTACTAAGAATCGTAGGATTGTTTACTTTCAAATCATTTTCCCAAACCAACCCTCAATTCTTAAGTACTACTGATTCTGAAATGAGCAACAATTCAACAGCATTATTAATAGCAAGAACTCAGTATGAAGAATCAATTGATACTCCCAACAATTTACATATGCCTGGTCTTTGAATTTTCTGTGGCAAAAAGAATGTCTCAAGAAAATCCATCTTCTCAGTGAGATACAGGTCTCACTCAGGCAGCAGGGAGTCATTGGTACTTCATTACTGGCGACAATCTAACTGATCTGAACTATAGAGTCCAGGGAGGGAAGATTCATTCTGATTAAACCCTTTCCCCTTTCTTTATACCCTTGCAGAAGTGCTTCCAATGACAAACAACAAAAGCCTGGGGGGGGGGGGATTCCTCAAAAGGCAACTGATTTTAAAAATTGTAAACATTAAACTTTCAAGGAAAATCTCAATCTTGAGATTATCTCTCCCATATTGCCTTTCTAAATCTACAGCAACATTAAGTATAATAAAGTGAACATAGCAGAATCTCAAGCATTTTGTCTTTGAAGGGAACTTCATTAGGTGGAAAACTATAAAGATAGCTTTTACCTTTGAATGTTCCTCATCTGTTGAAGATTCTTCAGATGCATGGGGAGTATTACTCAAAGAGCTGCTTCTCTGGTCATCAGCTGTCACTTCAGAAGGGGCTACTTCTACCACTGACATTCGGCAGCTTTCACTTCTTCCTCCACCCAATTCTTCCATCCTTGGGTGGGAAAAAGATTGGGGCCGGGATTCTTGGGAAAGTTCTACAAATTTCTCTAGGGCACTAAAAAAATCAATGCGATCTGTACTGAAATCTGAGACCTCAGCCTGGCAACTGGGTTGGGGGCTTGGTGACTCAGGGTCTGGGGACATGGGGAGGTCTTTCAGTCGAGATGTCAATTCTTCCATAGGCAATAAATGGACATTCATGTCTGTTTTCAGCGCATCTGTTTCCAAATCTTCCACTGCTAAGTCTGGGAATCTGTTGACCATTTCTGGGGCTTGTCCAGGTTGAGTTAAGGCTTTGGATGCATGGCAGTTGTCAAGAGGGAATTTTGATTTATTCAGACAACATCCTGATGAACATCCATTGATGTCATTGAGGTTTAGCTCATCTTCAATCTGTCCAGCATGAAATTCCCTAGAAGGAAACTCCAAGCAAATCAGTCTTTCTTTGGTACACAGGCCTTTCTGATTTGTATCTTGTGGGACCACATGTTCCACAAAGACAGGAGGTATGGGTGGGTGGCTTTCCACAGTCTTCACCTCAGCAATCTGGTCTGCGGAGGTAGTGATCTCCTTCTTGTTCAGTTCTAGCCCTGGTTTGCAGATGGGTTCATGGTGATCTGATAGGTCACTATCTGAATGAGATCTCCAGAGCTTGTTATGCCTTTGTTTGCTGTGGAGAAGATATACAGGAAATGCCTTACTCTGGTTTGTAAAACAATCAACACTCTCCCAGGAAACCAATCCCAGATGCATTTTAATCCTCAAAGTGTCCCAACGGAACTAGATAATAATAATAAATATTTGAAAAGATGCTTAATTTAACTAAAAACAAAACAACAAAATCAAATTACCATGAGATGGGATTTTTTACCTATTAAGAGATCAAATGACTGCTAACAGTCAGTGTTGATGATGATGTGAACAAACAAACTTGGTTCATGCATTGTTGGTAGCAAAGTGAACTGCAGAATTTTAAAGAGAGTAGTATGGTAAGAGCTCTCAAAATGTAAGAATTTTCTTGGAGAAATATTACTATAAATGCACAAAGATATTAAAATGGTTATTGTAACACTGTAACAGTAAAACATTGTTTTGTTAAGTGCTGTAAGTGGGTTCTGATTCATAGTGGCCTTATAGAAGGTTTCCAAGGAGAAGCTGGTGGGTTTGAACCGCTGACCTTGCAGTGAGCACTCCAGTGCTTGTCTTACAACAGTACCAGGACTCCAGTACTAAATAAATAAATAAAACTCAGACACACAAAAGAGAATTTATGAATTATAGTTCACACAACTATATATTATGAAGTTATTAGAAACAGGTATTTTAGTGGAATGACATCCAAAGTATGCTATTAAGTGAAAAAGCATGTTAGAATAAGTATAGGAAAAAATTGGGGAAATACCACCAAATAGGTATTAGTGATTTTGTGTGTGTGTGTGTGTGTGTGTGTGTGAAAAGGCAGAAATACCAGAGTCCTTTACCTACTAGGCTCTATCTTACTATGATTAAAAAATTTAAAAATAATAAAGTCTCTCATACTTTGGACACATTGTCAGGAGGGACCAGTCGCTCGAGAAGGATATATTTGGTAAGGTCAGAGAAAAAGAGGAAGACCCCCCAGCGAGATAGACTGGCAAAATGGCAGCATCAATGGGCTCATGCATGGCAACAGTAGTGAGGTTGGCCCAGGACCGGCAGTGTTTCATTCTGTTGTGCATAGGGTAGCTATGAGTCGGTGTAACAACAAACCTTTATAATCAGAAAAGACTCCTACAATGAAAAGACAAGTAATACAAAGGGAAATACTCTATAGGAGCTCATTATCAAGTCCTCATAATTAGGGTGAAAATTAGCAGACATGGCATCTGAAGAGACTGCTGGTCATTTTTGAACTGGAAAGCAACTATAACAGAACGGAAGAGGAACAGCCAAAAGTACGGGGCTTCTTCAGAGGAATGAATCTTTTGCTAAAAACCATCAGAGTAATAAACTGGTATCTGGAGAAGAAGGTGGGTTTTTCAGAGATGTTGTAATTTTTTTAAAAAAATGTCATTTGGTTTATTTTACATACACACTCCTCTATCCTTTCTTAAAATTTTTATGGAGGAAAGGTCTGATGTGGGGATGATATTACATTTTAAACTACACATTTTAACAAAAGCAGTTACCCAACCAAACCAACCCAGCTGCTATCAAGTCCAATTCACAGTTACCCTATATGACAGAGTAGAACAGCCTCCATAGGGTGCTGTGGGTTAATGTGCTAGACCACAAGGTTGGTGGTTCAAGCTCACCAACCGCTCCTCAGAAACGTTCTACAGGGTTGTTATGAGTCGGAACCGACTCAATAGCACTTCACTTAACAACAACAACAACAACAACAAATCTTATAATCAAGGGACCCCTGATGGTGTAGTAGGTTATGCGTTGTTGGACTGCTAACCACAAGGTCAGCAGTTTGAGTCTACCAGCAGCTCCGCAGAAAACATATGAGGCTTTTTGTTCCCACAAAGATTTATATAGCCTTGGAAACCCTACACAGGGCTCCTATGAGTTGGAACTCACTCCACAACACACAACCAAGCTTGCAAATGGTCAGTGAAAAGGAGGAAGAGCGTCAAATAGAGGGACTGACACAGAGGCTGCAATAATGGGCTCAAGCACGGCATCAATTCTGAGGATGATGCAGAACCAGGCAGTGATTTGCTCTGTTGTACATAAGGTCAGAACTGATTCCATGGCATTTAATAACAACAACAAAAATAACAATAATCTTTATGGAAGCAGACTGCTACAGCTTTCTCCCAAGAAGCAGACGGTGGGTTTGAACTGCAAATCTATCAACAGCCAATTACTTGACCCACTGTGGCACCAGGGCTCTTCAGTTACCTAAATCCCCAGCCTAAAAGAGAAAGGCAGCCCTGTGACTGGTCTGGACCAGCTGCCCAAAGAACAGGTCACTAAGTGTACTGCCTGGGGGTGCAGTCTCCATTGCTTACAAGTTGATGAGGAGTTACCTAACTCACAGGGTGGAATGGGAAACTCAGCCCAAAACAACAACTTGCCCTGGGCTCAAGGCCACATCAGCCTCTGCAGCTTGTGAATCTCTGCCGAGTCGAGTCATGCGCCTGCACTAATGTGAACCCGTTTGTTCTCAACTCTGCACCTGCTCTCAGACTGTCTGTTACTTGGGTGGGGCTTTCTCTGACTCAGGCTGTGCAGCAGAGGAGTGCTTTCCTGGGCAGGAAACAGGTCAAATCTGTTTATGAAGACAAGGGGTTTTCAAACTCTCCAAGCTGCATGAAACGCAGCCACCCCTAGGCGGAGACAGCATATCACACATCTCAGATGAGTGAGTGGATGTGGGAAGGGGCAGGCTGACTGACTGCTTGGATTTGTGGAGCCCAAATTTAAATTGTACAATGTGACCAACTGAAGATTGCCAGTGTTCTTCCTTTTAAAGTTTCTTCTCTTATATCCGGACACCCTCCTTCCCTGCCCTGGCTATGACTGTGTTCTCCTAACTTCTATTCCTCACTTATAAGGATGTTCAAACCTGCACCGACTCCTCTCACCCACCATGGTAGGATGATTCCTAGGGTACACATAACTGGAAAAGAAATCTGGGGCTTTGTGACTCTTCTGCCTTATCAGCAAATGGGATGTTTTCATGATCCCAAGTAGCCTCCAAAGTCTGATTTTTTAAAACTGTCTGCAAATCACTAATCCATCAGGAGGGAGCAGAGACTAAAGTCACGTTAAGAGGCACATGGGTGTAGTTTTCAAAGGAAGTGGCTCTGGACATTACAGCTGTGCTGCCCAGCAGGGATTTCCTTCTATTCCTGGGGAGGTATACATCTATCAGAAAACACTGAGTTGGGGCTCTAGAATTAAATTGACACCTATCTGCAATTGGAGAGAAAAATCACAAATCAAAGATGGCTTTGATGATGTCTCATTTTTCATTTTTGGAACAGGACCTGTAGGTCAAGATATTCATTATCACTGCATTTGAAGCACTGCTCTGCCAGGTGCCCCTCCCTGACCTCTCCCTCCTCAGAGGTAACCTCCACCATAGTTTTGTGCTTGTCATTCCTTTTCTTTACAGTGGGACCACATGCTTCTATTCTTAACAACATACTACTTAGTTCTGCATGCTTTGGACTTTATGTTATCAATAAATAAAATATATGTAAATAAATAAGTTTATACTGTATGTGGAGTCCTGGTTTGGCGCTGTGGGTTAATGCGCCAGACTGCAAAGCCATTTGAACTGCAAGGTTGGCAGTTCAAGCTCACCAGCTGCTCCTCGGAAACCCTATACAGGGTCACTATGGGTTGGAACAGACTCAATGGCACTTCACAACACAATGTACTATATATGTAAGTAAACTTTTATATGTGTATCAATAAGTTACGGATTCCTGGTATGTGGTGCTGTAGGATAATGCACTGGGATGCAAGGGCAATAGTTCAAACTCACCAACCTCTCCTCGGAAACCCTATACAGGATTGCTAGAAGTAGGAATCCAATCAACGGCACTTAACAACAACAACATAAATAAATTTATACAAATAAAATCTTACTGTATGTATTCTTCAGCGATTGTGTTTTTTTGGGGGGAGGGAGCTAGTATGTTTTTTGAGATTCCTTGATGTATTTGGCTAAATGTGTCATAATTTATTTACTCATTTTGTTGATTGGCTATTACAAACAACACTGCCATGAGCATTCTTTATTTCTCAACAGTATAAATATAGGAGTAGAAAACCTGGGTTATAGAGTATGTGTATCATCAATTTGCTTGGTTACATCAAAATATTTTCCAATGAAGCCTTTTTCTACATCAGGTTATTCTAATCAATTTTAATAAGAATAGGTGTAAGACATTAGATCATATCTATGATTAAAAACTTCATTTTTAAGTCCAGCTGACTCCACCTATTTCAGACAGGCAGTAAGTTAACAAGATGCCAATAAAGAACTTCAGAATTAGTTTGTGACTCAGATTATGTAATCGAATCTCAAAAATTTTTTTCCACTTTGGCCAGAATCTAGATTCACATAGACAAACAGATACATCTGAGATGGCAGGACCATTCTGGGTAAGAATTTGGCCTTTTATTTAGCAAATGAAGAAGAAAATTTAAATGACAGATGCATATGGTACCCTGTTCCCTTGCCACTACTCCCTTGCTTTTTATCTTTAAGCTTGCTAAAGCATCAACTAAGTTTGCAATCATGATATAGAGAAAACCCCTAGTAAAAATGGAGTTATCAGTTACAATAAATCAGACTGCTTATGGCTATTCTTAAGAGATTAGGCTGTCTGTAAAAATAGGGAAAAAGAAACAGAAAAGAACGTTAAGTACTTTCTATGTGCTGTGCATGCTCCTAGATGACTTATATTTATTTCATTGAAAAGCTATTAATATGATTCTTTAGCCTCAGTTATACTTGGCTATCAGCTGACCAGAAATCTACCTTCCCTCACTCTTAAATTCTCTGCTGCTAGCTGACCACTGTGTACAAGTTAATTAGACAACTCTGTCTCCCTGTCCTGGAGACAGGGACATTGGGGGTATTCAAAGAACAAAAAAATGACATTTTGAGAACATACGGCATGAACTCTTCCTAGCCACCCCCACAGTTTTTCTTCCTTGCCACCT